CCTGTCGCTGTACTTGAAAGAGAGGAGAGCTAAGTCACTTGAAGACATGCTTGAATTAGCTCATCAATTCTTGGAAGCGCAAGGTGGCACAAATTTGGCCAAGGTCAAGAAGGAGTGTCCCGAAGATTAAAAAAAATGCCCGCAGCTTCCCTCGGGGGAACACTTAGGAGGATGCGGAGGCATATAATTGGCAAGACCCTAAACGGACAGTGGGAACTTGGATGGGAACGTTTCCCGATCTGGCCCTTGATTCCGTACTGTCCGTTGCCGTGGAGTCAAGCGTTCGTATCACTCATGAAACGGGAAGTTCGAGGAGCGATGAGTCGTTCTTCACCCGCGATTCACATCGGGTAGATGTGCGGGTCGGGGTCGGGTAGCGGTTAGGCCGTAACGAACCCCTACACGCTAGCCGAGGGAAACTCGACCTGCAATCAACGACTGCTTGCACGGTAGCACACACGAACGTAGTCGGCATAGTCGGTGCACCTTTCCAAACGTATCGAAAAGAACCGACAACGCTTGGAGTTGTTCTGAATGTGCCGATCCGAGTTAAGTTGTTATCGAACCAAAGACGATCACACCCTTGGCAGGTGTGGCCGACGCTTACGTCGAGGAAGTCGCACTTGAAGCGAGCGTTGGGCGTGGCAATACTGCTTGGCGCGCCACGCGCTACCTCGGCGCGCTTGCGCTCGCGGGCAGCATCGGTATCGGCCTCTCGTCGCCGACGTTTGCACTCGGCTTCCCGTTTTCGAAAGTCCGGGTCCTCTTGTCGACGCTTACGTTTCAAAGCTGCCGAATGCCGTGCTGCTGCTCGACGCTGACGGTCCTCAGCTGGCTTCACGTTCTCTAAGTTAGAATCTTCCGCTCGACGCCGACGTTTACGTTCGGCGTCGCGAGCTCTTCTCCGCGCTGCCTTGTCTTCGGACGACGACTTGGGTTGCGGTTCCGCCAACATATTGGCCGGCGCTGGTCGAAGGTGACGTCGATCATTGCGACCTCGGACGTCGACGCGCCGTACAAACCAACCGACTGAGCGGCAACATGAGCGAGCGAGCACCGACCTTGCGTATATGATACAGCGCGACGGCGCATGCACTGTCAGCTGTCGAATGTTCGAGAAGGGGGAGAAGCGCGACGGCGCATGCGCGCGCGTCAGCTGCCGATGTTCTCGAAGCGCGACGGCGCGTGCGCGCGCGTCAGCTGCCGATGTTCTCGAAGCGTGACGGCGCATGCGCGCTACATTATACAGCTAGCGAATGTTCGTGAAGAGGAGAAGCGCACGCGGTGTGTAGAGGAGGAAGGGTGCACAGATGGTGGAGGAGTGAAGCGCGCGCGGTGTGTAGAGGAGGAAGGGATGCACAGATGGTGGAAAAGGAGGAGGAAGCTTGCGGACGGCGCCGCACTACAAGCCTCGAGTATTAGATGCTCCGCATCTAAAAATTCGGCACCCGAACAAAAAAGCGCGCACCGGAGAGTGTTCCGCGATGTTTTCTGTGTAACCGAGTGGGTCATCGCGCTAACAACTGTCGAACTATCTTTACGAGTCCCACGATCGTAAAATGTTTCAAGTGTGGTCAGACTGGGCACAAAGCAGACGCTTGTCATAATAGAGTGAGTCAAACTCACCAGGTATTCTATGTGCTAGCAGCACCGAAATCCGGTAATAATGCCGTCACCGATGGATTCGTAGAGTTGAAAAATGGGGAGAAACTTCCTATTGTGGGTGCTGTAATGACGAAACAGCCAACCGGTGTTACGAAGGGAATGCCAACGCTGCCTGGAAAAGTTGCGGGCAAGAAGATTACGGTATAAGAGACACCGGTAGCTCCACGGTTATCGCGCGGAGAAATTTGGTACGGGAAAGTGAGTTAACAGGCAAAACGAAACCGGTTTGTCTAATTGACAGTACGGTTCGGATGCTTTCCGAAGCAGAGATTGAGGTTGAAACCCCGTACTTCAGCGGGAAGGTTACGGCTCTATGCATGACGAACCCCTGTACTACCTCATCATCGGAAACATCGACAGGGCGCGAGGGCCGAACGATCCAGAATGTTTGAGGGAAGACCCGAATATGGAGCTTTCGCTGACACAGGGACCGCGAGATTCAGCGGAGAACAATCCTGTGAAGGATTTCACTCGAGCCCAAGGTGAAGCCTGGGCACAAGAGACAGCAAATGAGAACATGATCGTGTTGAATGAGTTCACATGCTAAACAGCTGGACTTCCGTCGGCATGACCTCAACCGACCGACAGTGTAAAGGTGACGCAGTCGGCCAGCCAGGCCCAATGTCGTGACATGAACAAGCGGGTGACAGGATCGGTTGATCGTTATGACCCGTTAACGGTGTCGAAAAGGACAACGATGGCTGAGACACCGCCTCAGATAGCGTCGTTGGAAAGGGCTCGCCGAAAAAGAACGAGGAAAAACAGGAAGAGGTCGAGCGAGCATCGCAAGAAAGGGCGTAAGTGCCACTCAAGGTACGCAGGATAGGTACTGAGGTGGAGTCGGAATGTGTTTGACAGTGCTGAGTGCAATATGTTGAGTTTATGTGGTTGCTATCCTGTGTCACAATTGTATGTCGAGCGAGTCAAAGTGTGCTGTGACGTGATGTATAGGATTGTACAATTGTTGTAAAGACAGACCTTTGTACAATTGTATTGCTTGCAGTATGTGATAGAGTATTGTATTCATGTACCTGTGTCTATATACTATGTGTTGTGAGATTGAATTGCAATGTACAATTGTATTGAGTGATCTATTGTGAATGTGACGTCTCATGAGCGACAGACTATGTTACAGTCTTTGAGAGTGTGGGGACTGTTCGCGCTCGTTTGTGTGGTTTTGAATAATATGAGATAATATTCTTAAAGTGGGGGGCAGTGTCACAAATCGAGCGCTCAAAAAGGGCACGCCGTCAAATTCTCGCGACGAAACGCCGAAGTGACGCCGCGAGGTCAACAATAAAAAAAAGAAAACAAACATCCAAAGACTCTCTGGGCGCGCGTCCCTCTCCCCTCGGAAGCGTGGGTTCACCGACGAACCTTCTCTCATCGGCGCCCGGCAAGCCCTGGAACGTTCTCGATGGAAAGGGGCGTGGTGATACAGGGCTGCGTCATCCGTCGCGGTCGGCCCTCGTACCGTCTCGCGCTTTCCCCCAGCATTCGCTGCGCATCGCGCCGACGAAACGATGAGAATTTTTCGGAATCTCGCGCGGAAGGTATTCAACCGAGCAGCCGAGATGGGAGATCAGGAGAAGAAGGAAGTTAACGCCAGTGTGCGTAGGGTATTCCGCCGCGTCTGTCGGTGAAGGTTTTGTCCTTAGTGAAAAAGCAAGAAGAAAATATGCGCCAGAGTGCGTAGGGTGTTCCGCCTTGTGGGCGAAGCCTTTTGTCTTCCGTGACAAAAGAAGAGAAGAAGAGGATTTTCACCTGACGGGTGAAGACTCGAGCTACAGGCAAGAGTGTGTGTCTACCGCTAGCGAGCGAAGACGCGTGACGACAGCTGCGTGTGGGATGCCGACGTGTTTCCGGCGAAGAAGTTTGAAGCTTGGAGAGCGATCAATTGAAGGCGCGAGGTTTCCTGGAAGAGAAAGTTCGGGGGCAGCGGAACGACAACAACGCTGGACTTTGAGTGAGTGATTTTCGGAAGAGTATCATTCAGACTTTTGTTCCAAGAACTTTGGACTGAATAAGTTTTCTAACTCTTTAGTCTTTAAGTGTCTTGGTTGTTCGATGCATGCGACTGCGTTGTAGTGCGTATTGTTGTCCGTGTCCGTTGTTTCGAGTGTGGCTGATTGTAGTGTGTAGTACATTGTTTGATTGGTGACACATTGTATTCAACTATTGTCGAGTGTGCATACTTGTGTATCGTTTTGATCTGCCATAACTGAGAATATAATTTTGTTTTGTTTATCAACTCTCGGCTCTGACTTGTTCTTTGGGCCACAGCCGGCGTCCACTGGCGCGCCAAATAGGACCACTTCTAAATTGTCCACGCTTTCGTGGTGCGGTTTGGGGGCCGATACTTCGGCCCTTGGAATTAGCCCGGTGATCACCTCCCTAATTAACGGGACCTGTGGCAGCAATATCGTTCTGCGTTTCGTCACATACAATTTTCACTACCTGCATGCCTTCCTACGTCTTTATAAATTAAAATGTATCATTTGTTTTGTAATAAATTTTTATACAGTAACAAAAAATAATGACGTTACTTTTTCACTGCAACTGTAACAAGTTACATTTAGAAAATCGGTAACTGTAACAGAGTTACTTTTTTGGCTTCAGTAACTGTAACACTGTTATTTTTTACTGGTAATGTGCCCATGACTGGTAACCGACTGGATGCCCAGAGAAGGCAAATGGACAAAGGGGAGACAAAGTTAGGCGGACCAATGAGATTAAAAAGTTCACAGGTATAACATGGCAGCAGAAAGTACAAGACCAGGTTGATTGGCAGATTGTTATGTGATCGTCACGCAAAACAGAATACATGAATAATTATTTATGACTTGCACTGCGGCTAGGCCTGTGCGCTGCCGCCCGTGTCACCCTCGTCATTAGCACCACCACCAAAGTCCCGACAGTGATCCCGGTGCTGTCACCATGCAATAATTCCGACGCACTACCATGTGTCTCTTCTAACAATCTGAGCAAAAAATCTGGACACGAAGTACATCACTTCACCGGGAGAGTCTTCTCCACGAGTCTGTCGGTATGCGTGTATGCACGATCAAGACAACTCGATGGCATGAATCCCAACTCTGAACTGACTTCATCATTCTTTTCTTTACTCTCCTCACCCACTCCTTCACTGCGTGATGAAAGCGTAGGCGAGGGGAGAACTGCTTAGAAGAATTGCCACAAATCTCTTACCTTCGGCCACTTAGCTTTTTTTGACTGCATGGTGACCATACCAAACTTTACTATTGATGAATTCGCTATGAATTATGCTGAGGTCGACAAGTTGCACCAAAATCATGCAGAACAACGAAGCTCAGAAATTTGCAGAATGGTCCATTTTTATTTATGTGTTTAATATAAAATGCGAGAATATCTTTATCACAGTCAAAACAAAATTTTAAGCATACATCACTTACAAGGCACAGAGTACACTAAATATCGTCACGTAGCTCGGCTATCTCCGCTCGCAGTGTTACCACTTCGTCGAACACTTGCTGAAGCATGGCTTGTGTGTCTTCTGCAAAATAAAAGATGGCTAATCGTTAAACAGCACTGAACAATTAATTTCAATTTAAACAACATAACTTACCTAGCTTGTGCGGGCGAAAGTGTATTTCACTAGCCGACACTATAACTCACACTAACTGTAACCACATTTAAAAGGAAACATGCAAAGCAACTATCTAAAACTTTCGGCACTTACAAAGTGCTGTTGCAGGTGCAACCGAAAAAGAAAAAAAGAAGGAGGTGGGGGTGTGGGGGCACCCACGAGTGTACAGGAATGCAAGACACACAGCCGAGGCCCCCAAAAGGTGTGCTGGATGCACGCTCCTTTGTATAGGCCATTTCATAACAATTGATTCTTTCTCTATTGTAAGCTTGTCGTTGATCATCCGTTTTTGATACAGCAATCTCATCTTTTATTGAAGTCTTTAGTCATTTTACAATGCCATATTTCACTGCAGCCAGGATACATACGAAAGCGAGACCATCATTGTTGCCTGCAGAAACTGCATTGGAAGTACACTCAAACCACATTATAACGAAATTGCAGCTCACACGAAAATGAGTTTGTTATATCTGAAAATTCGTTAAAAAGCAAAAATCGTCAATATTTGTTATTCTTTATATTCTTAATACTATATACAATACAATTGTATGTTTCATTTACTTTGTTATAACTAACATTTCTTTATATCCAGGTTCATTATATAGGGGTCTGAGTGTATTGCATTGTTAAGCATGTGAATGACGGTTAAATTTTAGTAATGAAGGAAGCACACTGAAAACAATCTTAATCACTATTGATCCACCGCCATACCATCACGCAACAGAAAAATGTCCACCTCGGGCGTGAAAGTAAAACCCTTGCGCTGCTTCGCCGGAGGCGGCCAATCTTAGAAGGCGGCCGATCCATGCTGACGATATTTAGCGCCTTTGTGCTATAATAATTGTGTCAAGCTGGTGGTTCTGGTCAGTCTCCGCTTGGCTCACCGTAAAGGTGAGTTACATCACGGGTAACGTGATGCGCCAGGGCAGATTATCTCCGCTGGAAGGCCATTGGTGGCAGCGTTGTTTATGGCCGCGCGGACGCATCGCCCCAGCGATCTTGTGACGCATCTGTTTGGGATTTCGCGCATGCGCAATACCGTCGCCCCAACGTCCTGGGTACGCAAGCTGCTTGGGTACCCAGCACTAAAACTCTCTAGTGCATCGCTGCCTAAATCGGTGCGCGGCGGTGTTCGAAGAATCGGCAGCCGTGGTCAAAAATCGTTTTGTTGCGCCGGCGGGTTTGCTTGGCTTCACGAACTTCGATATTTCACTGAATGCATTCTGTGCAAATTAACAGCCGTGTTCCTTCCCGCTTCGCACACGCAGCGTGGAAGGCTCGCTGAGCTGAGTTGCGAAGTGAGCTAGAACAAGTCCTCAACACGAAACGAATCAGAGTCGGTGGGGAGCGTACCGCTGCTGGGCACTACACCGAAGCTATCGAATACAGTCCGGTGGCCGACGACCTGTTGGCAAATGGTCTCGGTCACTCCAGAGTGGCCCTGGTCAGACTGTCGACAGTACCTATGGATGCAAAAACGGGGGTACCATGGCCACCGGTCTTTTGAAAGAATCAGTGGCAGTAGGAAAACACGGGCCCGTCTGGCCAGTTGCAGGAATGCTCAGAGTAGCGGGGGGGGGGGGGAGGACAACGGACGGAGAGTGCGTAACAAAAGCGGTCGGGGAGAGAGGCGCGCGGAGGCCAGGTCGGGTCGCGTTTAACCATAAGAATGTATGGGCACCTCGTCGATGCCTGATCAAGGTCGAAATTGGTTTCCCGGGAAGTCGGCAGACCGCTGACTCCGTTCGCTGAAACCGATCAGCGGCGCTCGAGACGTTCGTTGTAAGTGCGATTTTGTGCCATTGAACCAATGTATATTTTCACGGTCACGCGGATATTGTTCGTTTTAAGCGAAGGTTCATTTTAAGTGGGGCCGTTATATGTGGGCTCGACTGTATTGTGATTTGTTCACTATCACATGAAGAGACTAATGTCATTCGACGAAAACGACATTGTCAGTTGAATGATTTCCGAAAACTTATTCACATTATATTTCAGATCAAATGCGTAGTCTCCACGCCGGGGCCTTGTTAGGGAGATGGCCGATGCAATTCGTCTACTTTAATGTGCTTGGCTGTTGATTCTAACGTCGCGGGTTCGACCCCAGCAGCTGGGCTCGCATTTCGGTGGAGGCGAAATGCTATAGAGGTCCTTGTTGTGTGTTGTGTCAATGCACATTAAAGAACAGCAGACTGTCAAAATTTTCCTCCACGGCGTTTTTTATAATCATATCGTCGTTTTGGGTACGCGAAACTTGAGGCATATATTGTTACCAATTCTGTAGTTCCGAACATATCTTACTTTAAACTAGAAGAGCTTATGACTGGTTTGATGCCGACAGTATATCATGGGGGGGGGGGGGAGGGGTTTGTAAAAAAACGACTAAACTACGTCGGTCACATTTCAGGCGCGTTGCCAGAATTTTTTTTCGGGAGAGGGGGGGCACCCCCTGGCTATATGCCCCTGTCATGTTTATTTTTGCTCTGCTTGTTGTTGCCTGTATCGCGGGGTTAATTGTCCAATTGCACGTGCTTTGATGCACCACCATGCTTCAGTTGAATGTCACCATGCCCCGTCACAATTGTCGGCAATGTTGGTTTCAATTCGCTCTCTGCTTCACTATTGACTTGGCTTCGTTTCTTTGGGGAGCTGTGCCAAACTATGTGAAAACCGCTTGGTTTCTATTCTTCCAACAGCTTTTCATTGGTAAAAACGTATATTTCGAGAATACACGAGTGTTTCAGCGCAAGTTTAAATAAAGCTGTATTTCTTCCTGAAGTCTCAGAAGGGCTAAGGCCATAGTTATCATATTATTATGGTATTTATTTTCATCGTGTGACAATAGACAAGTAAAGCTCCTTTGAGTTCCCTTAGCGTCATTCGTTGTAAATCACGTCAGATGGACCGTGTGACAGGGGTATCAAAAACGGTATGAGTGCACAGCTGACGCAAACCTTTCCGAATAGGGTGGGGTCATGCACCTTGAAGAATACGAGAAATAGACTCCATGAACGCCGTCTTCACTCGTTACTCGCCACTGTTTCTTTTCGCACGCTTTTATTAAATAAATTCTGCATTTGGTGTATAATCAATAACTTACATTAAATGTTAACGAAAAAGTAATGACGTTACTTTTTCATGGTAACTGTAAATGTAACAAGTTGCTTAGTAAACTATGTAACTGTAACAAGATTACTTTTTTGGCTTAGGTAACTGCAACTGTGATACTTTTTGCCAGTAAATGTGCCCATGACCACTGCTATGTACTAGGAAGGAAGCCCCTCCCCCCCCCCCCCTCTTATAAAATTTAAATAACGTGCCAGTGGCTGCAAAAGTGTATAAGATCTGCAGCGCATGGCGGAGCAACAAAAAACTGCACTACTGCGTCACCTGCCGAGATGCGGCATGATGTTGAGGCCGTGGCCTCAGTGATTAGCATTGGCGCATTTCAACAATGCGCTCTTGCCGCATATAATCATTTAGGCCGGGCCCAGCAGCATGCCCAGCTTTAGGCAGCATGTTCAGCTGGAGACGACATAGAACCTCCTTACCGAGCCAACCAGTCAATCGCACTGCACGCTACATTTTCATATGATTAGTACATTGAAAATGTCTTTCAAAATGCCGTTGTATGCATGTAAATGCGATTACCTCTAATTTTCTGATCAACACTTTTCGGAGAGTCGGCGCACCTTCAGGCTCAAATGAGCCAACAGCATTCAGTCAAAAACATAACTTATTGAAGGAATATGTAAAATTCTCGCTTCCTTTTCCTGTGAAATTCAAGAATGAGCTATAAGAACGTTCCCCATGCTGCATTCCCGACCTGCAAGAAAGTGAACTGTGCTAATGAACTACTAAATCAAAGGAGATGCATTTCTTTTTTTTTACTTGGTTGTACCATATATTCATAAGCGTTAACTGATGGATGTATTTGTGAGCTTGTTCAATTGACATCATAGCGCATGAATGTTTCATGAGTTAAAGTTCTGCAAACAGGTGTGAAACAGGGCACATGGGTTTGAGAGCAGTCCTTGGAGCAGGCAAAAATGTGTTTTTAGCTAGGCTTGAAAAATCCAGAAAGATGTTTTGGAGCAGGCTTCGAGCAGCCAGGAGTGCCTTTTCGAGCAAGTTTAGAACAGTAGAAATATTCAGAGCGAACTCAGCCCCGTTCAAAGCACTTGTGAAGCAACGTTTGTTTAATGCTGCATTTTTCCAACATTCAGGTTAATTCTGCAATAGCCTCATTATTGTAATAGAAATTATATGGACACTCCAGACAGGTTTTTTGCTGTTGGCGTCACATTATAAAAACAGCATTAGCGGAATGGTGAAGCTGTCAGCAGGTACCATGGACCTTATCACGTCATAGAACAAGCTTCCGCTGTTAACTACCTCATAGAACCCCTCAAGGCAACTGTGGACCTGCGACGCCGAGGCCCCGAAATCGTACATGTGGATCGCCTCAAACCATATCACGAACCACTTGTCCTCACGGCACCTTAGAACACTTACTTGGCACCATCTTCAGCAAGGGGGAAATATGTAATGATGAATGTAGTGGGTCATGCAAATCTCGGCAAAGCACGAGACGCTCGGCCCGGACTGTCGCTGATTTCGCTAGCTAGGCCTACGCTCCTACCTGGTCTCGAATAACAGTTTTGACTGTCTCAGTTCTTTATTATAAAGCAATGAGTTCGATAGCAAGAAGTCGTAAGGCTCAACTTGTAAGTTACGACAAATTGTATCTCTCTTAGATACTATATCGCATAACTCTACAAAACGCTGATGGAAGAGAATACAGCCTTGCCTGGGAGAGATGCTCTTCTCGCAGTCTCTTGGCGTTTAGGGCACAGCACGCAAAAGAGTTCCTGAGCTACTTGGGCTGACGCCTGCCGTGATCGCGCATTCATAGCGATCGCAACCGTACTTTTAAGATCTCAGTGCACAGCTGCTCCTGGAGCGATTCCAGCCTTTGTGACCCCGAAACTACTATAACCGTTTCAATGAACAAAGACAACGTTTCAGCCACGTTTCTGGGCATGGCGCTTGATGGATATTCGCACTTTGAAGCTCAATCATGGTGCTATGGCGCAGTACGGCAATAACAGACGAGTTTGGCGCAGGACGGCACAGGTAAACAAGTTTGGCACACAATGGTGCAGCTGTTCCACCCCTGTGCAAATACTAAATGTCTAAATAGAAAACCAAACGGTCCCTTACTCAATGCACATTCTATTAAAGAATTAATTTTTATCTCCTTTAGTCTCTATTAAATGACATTTTTCGTTCAAGTGTGGTAAGATAGCATTTAAATAATTTGAAAGCGCAGTACTTAGAAGACTGCTCCTGCACTGTCATAGGCGGCACAGCGAATGCGGAGTGCAGTGGGGGATTAAAGACTGTAATATTGTGGAAAGTGCGAGGAGGAGGGAACGACAGTGGCAAGATGACCGGTTCTGTAGTGGTCACCTGGGGTGCCCCAGTAGTGTGCGTTAACGTATGGTTAATCCCTAAAGTATGCTGCAAAGTATCCACCAATACCATGGACGAAAATAAAGGGCTGCATGGACGATGACCTGTCTGCCCGGGGCTACTGTGGAGCGCTGTCACGTGCTGGCTTCTATGATCTACCTGTTAGCGAGGCAGTTGCGCTATGCTCTGTCTGCGACGGCTGATGTGAAATGGGCTGCACGAAATCGTTTGTGCCACTAACACTACTCACGGCCTTTTCTTCTTAATGTAAACCGTGCGCCTGTAAACAAAAATCAGTCGGCTAGTTCTTTCTGAACAGTGACTGACGCAATTGGCGCAAGTACGCCGTCTAGCAGCTGCTGCTAAATGGGCTGCCCGAGCAAAGGCTTAACGCAGACAGGAGAATCCAGTGATGCGTGGCACCAAACCAGAAGCATTTGCCTCAACCTATCGCAAAATGAAGAAACTGAAACAACGGCCCTCCGAATTCAGAGCAGGCAGTATTTTAATTGTTTGTGACTATTCTTAATTTGAACTTGCATGAATGGCATGCGCATAAGAGACGAGAATAAGAAACATGGCCATATAAAACTTTTATGAAAGCCTAGGTGATGTCTTGGGATTCTACCCAATGAGGCCCAGCAAGATTGTAAACATACTGCATGCTTTTGATTGGCGACAACCCTAATGCACCAAGCCACTGTTACCGATTCTTCTTTGTGCGAGACCGCTGAATGCGTTGCACAGACTTATTGGGAAATTCTACCATTCCTTTCTCGAGGCTGCACAAAAGGAATGAAGTTCATTTTCTGGCAATGCCTTCTTGTGGCGTACCAGAAGGCATCCTGAACTTCAAGAAGCCCAGCAGTTCTTTTTCTGATAATGACTGACAAGCCGAGTGCTTTCAGTTTCAGCTGAGGGCATTCTTCACCGCACTGCGTGGCTGAGTTGGAGTGAAACTTACCAGAGCAAATCGTCCATAACAGAGGGCAAACAAAATCCTCTGCTGGGCAAGCCATCCATATTTCCGACACATACATGGCCGAATCGGAAATTTAATTCATTGTTTGTAACATAGCATCTGCCAAAGTAGTGTGATTTCATTGGCACGAATGATTTCTAACGTCGGAGCCATTGCAGAATGTTTTCTGCCTATGCAAGGAGTGCAACTACAGATTTTTCAGACATTCTAGAAAACTCAAACGCTCTCTCGAAGCCGTCACATGCCCCATAGGTGTCAATGAATATTAAGGTCTAAAATTTCGTATGCGGAAGCTCCAGCATCTGATTTCTCCGAATTTTCGCCCAAATTTTTATTCGGACAACGCGTTAATTAAAGACTCGACCTCTGCTGCGTCTATAATCTCGTAGGTTTGAACCAGCCCATCTTAGTCGATCTGCACTTATCAGCATGGAATCCGTAACGCTGTTTCGTGTGAAACGCAGTGGCTGTGTTTTACTAACGACTTATTCATTACCGCAGATATTGAATTTGATACTGACTGCATGTACTTAGATTTCACTAAAGCGTTTGACTCCGTCTCACATAAACTTCCTATTTTCAAACTTAATCAACTCAATATTGACTCCATTGTACTTGCATGAATTAAAGAATTTCTCTCCAACCATAGCCAGTATGTGATAGCTAACAATTTTCGTTCAACGAATTCCGCCGTAACATCTGGTGTACCACAAGGCTCCGTTTTAGGTCCACTGCTTTTCCTAATTTATATTAGTGATCTTCCTTCTCGTGTTTCTTCCTCAACAGTCAGACTATTCGCAGATGACTGCGTACTTTACCAGAAGATTACTAGCCATACCAATCATCTTGACCTCCAATGCGATCTAGATGCAGTATTTGAATGGTGTAATAAATGGCTCATGACACTTAACATAACTAAACATAAGAGCATGCGAGTTTCACGTCGCACTACTACCCATTGTTCGCTTACATACTTCCTCAATAACATTCCGTTACCATCTGTTGAACCAATAAATATCTTGGTGTTCATTTATGTTCTAATCTTTCATGGAATATGCACGTACAATATGTAAGTAACAATGCTAACCGCATGCTTGGTTACCTGCGTCGAAACTTTTCCTCTGCCCTATAGTCAATCAAGCAAACACTGTACGAAACATTGGTAAGATCAAAATTAGAGTACTCGTGAGCCCAATGGGACACAACTCATGCCATTCTCATTGAAACCCTCGAAGCCAATAAAAAACACGCAGCGCGTTTCATCTTATTGAATTATTCACGTCATTCAAGTGTCACATTCATGAAAAACACCTTAAACTTGCCTGACCTTTCATTGCGCCGCAAATTGTCTTACCTTAACCTTTTTCACAAAATCTATCATTTTAACAGCCATTTGAAGGGCGCCCTATTTCATCAACCTAGTTTCATATCACCGAGGATCGATCATCGCTATAAGGTGGGTCTACCATCCTGTCACACCAGATTGTGCAATGACTCATTTGTTCCTAGGAAAAGCGCCACCTGGAACCCCCTTCCCGCCTACATCGCCTGCATAATGGATGAAAAAGATTTCAAGCTTGCCGTACAAGATGCCCTGTAACTTCTTTTTTGCTTTTTACTGCACTTATAAATTATTGTTTTCCCCACTCCTTTCTGTAGTGCCTTAGGGCCTTGAAAGTATCTTTAATAAATAATTAATAAATAAATCTGTTTGGGGTTGTAGCAGGGTTCAAAAGTCGGCTTTTGCACAATGCTGACATGTTCTGGGGTGAACCAGGTAAAACAAATATGAAAGAGTGGCTACCGCGACACGGTCCGGTGATGTCTTCACAGATAAGCACCGGGGATGCTTGGAGGTGCGATGGTGGCAAACTCAAAAGTGCAACTTAATCGCTGACAATTCTTTATGATAAGCATCTTCAGGTAACTGATTGTTAGTGCATGAGGCCCAGCAAGATTGTAAACATACTGCATGCTTTTGATTGGCGACAACCCTAATGCACCAAGCCAGTGTTACCGATTCTTCTTTGTGCGAGACCGCTGAATGCGTTGCACAGACTTATTGCTTTGAGAAAAATAAAGCCGCATTGTAGAGCCCATGTGCAGTCGGGAATTAAGTGGGCATAACGAATACCTTCATGGCAAATGCTAGCAAGCACCCCAGCATTGACAGTGTTAACGCAGTTGGCGATGTGCTGCACACAACTAGGAACGATCGACTGCACACGGCGTGCGTGTCTGCGGAGATTTTGTACAGTAGCGCTTCGGTGACGTGCACACACGAATCGGAGAAAGTCGGACATCCTCCTCTCCCACCACAGACTTTGAGTTCCCCGCCTTCGTTTCCAAACTCTGCATGACAGAGAGCCGTAACTTAATCTGCGCTTAGCTGGTATCAGCGCCGCACATCCCAAGACGCAAATTTGCGATTGGCAGCGGGCACATAGTTAAGCGGGATTTACAGCACGTACCAAATGTATTCCCAGGAGCCTGGGCGCTCACCAAAACGCCTCATAAGTGCACTGGGAGCCACTGAAGCCATTTCGGCCATGAGTGGCGATCTGACCACTTGAGCGGAGTGAAGACGCATGAATTCATTTTTTTGAACTGCCCAATCTTTCCGATGATTTAACAGTCCCTAGGGAGTCCGAAAAATCCATAAATGACTGTAGCACAGTGCCATATATTCGTTTGGAATATCAACTGTTTGATGTAACGAATAAGTTGATATATTCAGGTTTCACTACATACCGTTATCCCACGTGCCGTAAATAGAAAGAAGGTAAGATAGAAAAGCACATAGCACTTGCGTTTTTCCCAGACTGAGCACAGGAAGTTAATAAATACCATGAATGAGTGCTGCATCATTGTCATTTGCATGTGCATACGCAGCAAGTGGCCATCTAGGCGATCGAATTGGTCATCTATGTGGCGTGTGTGTGCATCAAGGCGCCGTTCCAGGTCCGACAGCCTGCTTTCGATGAGACCCGTGCTTCGTAGTGCCAGTGCAGAATCATCATGATGCCTCCCCACATCCTACAAAGATGAACAGGTAAAAGGGGGAAGACCATTATGCACAGCTGCAAGGAGCGACAGCCCCCCTGCAGTTACATAAACACAGTGTTGTTCATTTCACTCAATATGATTTCTGTCAAATATATTTGATCGAGCTTGCTCATCTTGCTCAACAATAGCTTGTAGTATTACAAAACTTTAAAAAGTAGGAAACACACTCAAACTTGTATATAACAAACCCGTATATAGCGAATTATCGGTGATAACAAAGTGAGGAATGACTCTGGCTTAGGTAGAGGGCTACAAATATATGCTTATAACATATTTTTGAACATAAGGTATTTTCACGGCAGGCGTGCCTTCATTAAAACGAGATTTAAACGTTGTACTCCATTTTCAGACTTCTTTAAAGCAATGCACCTTGTCTGACACAATGCCTTGTCACTTACATTGGGAAAGTATGAATTTTATGGCATTGAAGGTGCATGGCATTCCTCAATCTCATTTTGTTTGCAATACTGAACACTCATTGCAATGATCGCAGCCTAATTTGTACATAATATTAATAATAACTGTTGAGGTTTAACGTGCCAAAATCAGGATGATTATGAGAGATGCTGTAGCCGATGGAGGGCTCTGGAACTTCCCACTACCGGGGGTTCTTCAACGTGCACCTAAATCTAAGTAGATCGGTCTGAAGCATTATTGGCCTGCATTGCAGCTTAGTTCTTGAGCAAAAAGAGTAAAATGCGGCACTCTCCAAATGAGACTTTTGGGACCAATTCTCCTTATTTTATATTACCAAGGCCAAAGAACAGTGATCACAATGCTAAATGTAAAATCTATATGAATTATGCCCATTTATTTCCCGTGTACAGTTCAAGTAGAATATAAATACACATTTAGAAGCAATTTCAAACAAGAGATAAAGAAAAAAATTGCCCGCAGCTTCCCTCGGGGGAACACTGAGGAGGATGCGGAGCATATAATTGGTTAACGGGGTGTTAAAGTGCGACTTACTTGGGTCGATGGCTAAATTGGTTAACGTGGTTGTGAAATGGGGTGTTAAATTTCGACTTACTTGGGTCGATGGCTAAATTGGTTAACGTGGTTGTAGGAGGGGGTGTTAAATGAGTGAACACGTACACACGTATGCGAAAGGGCGGCGCTGGTCGAAGGGACGTCGATCATTGTGTTTGTGGATTCGTTGGAATTCATTTCACCGCGACCTTGGACGTCGACGCGCCGTACAAACCAACCGACGAGCGGCAACTGAGCGAGCGAGCGCCGACCTTGAGTATATATACAGCTCGACGGCGCATGCACTGTCAGCTGTTGAATGTTCTCGAAGCGCGACGCCACATGCGCGTCCACTGGAGAATCAGGAGAATTGTAGATGTCGAACGCGGTGTGTAGAGGAGGAAGGGTGCACAGATGGTGGAGGAGTGAAGCACGCGCGGTGTGTAGAGGAGGAAGGGATGCACCGATGGTGGAAGAGTGGGCGACGGCGCGACGGCGCATGCGCGCGCGTCAGCTGTCGAATGTTCGAGAAGCGGTGCGGACGGCGCGGACGGTGCACTACAAGGCGCGAGTATAAGATGCTCCGCATCTAAAAGACCTAAAGCAAAACTCCACTAGGGAGTACTGTGTGCTGAAGTCCCAAGTCTGATGGAAATTCATCTGGTAAGGAAGAGACATGATGGCAATTGAAAGACACCAGCTGACACTATTCAAATAAAAGCAAAAATTTTCTGGCTCAGCATGACTCTCAGCAAGACATTTCAGAAAAAGGAGAAAAAAAAATGACACATAACGCGAAAAACGTGGTGATGCACGATGAACCCTTCAAACGCAACGGGGCTCGCACTCACACCATTCCTATAGTCTCGCAGCTTTTTTTTTTCTCTGCTGCCGTTGGCAGAATGTGAAGCAATCAAACTCTTTCGAAACAACTCTAAGATAATGATGCTCCCTGCCAACTAAGCCAATGTTGCAGTGCTACTTGACAGCACTAAGTACTATGACAAAGTGACGGCTTCACTTGGTGGGCACAGCAACGCATAGAGAAGGACCCTACACTGAAGCTGTAACAGGACTTTCAAAAGCTTCTTTCAGGCATGTTTCGTTGCATTCTACCTCAACACAAGGCCTCCTGCTGCTATCTTCTGTGCCATAATGGTTCTACGCAAGCCTTGTCAATTGCACGACACTCATAAGCTCAAGGCGCCAATGCACTCCATTATGAAAAACACTCGCTCAAGCTTTCACAAGCTCTCTGGGTACCTGCATCGCATGTTGCTACCCCCTGTGAACAGAAGCAAAACATATATCCTCCACTTCGATAATTTCATAGACAAGCTATGAGACATCGCGCTCGAGGGTTACAATATTCTAGCGTCTTTTGACGTCCAGTTTTTAATCACCAGCATACCTACAGGTATGGTAATGAATGCTGGTGGAGGCTAACATGGTTCAGCTTAGGTAGAGTATGACATAGCGAGCAATTGAAATGAAAAATGATGGGTGGAACCTAATGGACAAAAAAAAGGACCAGAGTGGGTCGGGGAACAAACCGTTGTTAAGGACATCCTAGTCAAAATCAAAAAGAAATGAACATGAATAGGGCATGTAGAGTGTAGGCAGGATAACCACTGGTCACTGAGCGTAACCGACTGGATTCCCAGAGAAAGAAAACACAGCAGAGAAAACGGAAAATTATGTAGGCAAATGAGGTTTAAAAGTTTGCAGGTATAACGAGACAGCAGAAGGCACAGGATAGGGGTGACTGGCAGAGTATAGCAGAGGGCTCAGCATCGCAGTGGGCGTAGTCAGAATTAGGATTATGATACTACGGGCTTGGCAGTTGATGCAAGTCTCAGCCCTCGAAATGGACACTACCTTGCCCTAGCTTACACAAACTGACGTCAAGGATCTGCGGCACCTCTTGAAGTTTTGCCTCGAGAACATGCATTTCATGTTCGAGAATTGTTCATGTGATCGGATTGCAGTGGCGGCGGCTGCGTTTTCAATGGAGGCGAAAATGCTGTAGGCTCGTGTGCTCAGGTTTGGATGCACATTAAAGAACCCCAGGTGGTTGAAATTTCCGGAGCCCTTCACTATGGCATCTTTCATAATCATATGGTGGTTTCGGGTTGTCAAACCCACACATCGATAAAAAAAAATTTGGAAAAAGTTCCAGAGTTTCTTTTACAAGCCTGTACATAGGACTGAAGTACGTCCCGCTGTCTCCGTAACAGCAGCAAATCTCGCAATGTAGGATTTTAACAACGCAAACTGATCTTTTCGTCCTGCACCCAAAAATTCTTCTACATTGTGTGGAAGATTGTTTCAGCAGAGTCAAGTAGGTACTTGTTGCGCTTACAGAACACTCAAAGGGCATTGAAGCAGCAATACAGTTTACCCAAGAGAAGCAGCAGCACGACTTGCTTCCTTTCTACGACGCTCATGTCAAACGCAAAAGAAGAAGAGCGTTACTCAGTTTCTACAAAAAAACATTCACATCAGTCACTATATGCATTTAAATTCTGTCAAACCTGCTTCCTACAAAAAGTCCACTCGCTTGTTGGTCTTGCAAAGAGAAATTGGGATCTTTCCCACGTCGGCTACCCTGTCTCGTTTGTGCGGTCTGTGGAATGTCAATCGGCACACTCTGCACATCCTGATAAATCATGCACAAGGAAATGTGTAGCCTAGTGGGAATAGTGATTGTTAGTTTGGAAGCGTATTCGAGGCAAACAGTAATCTTGGTCGATTAATGTGATTCAAATTCGAATAGTAATGTCACATGTTATACAAGAAAATCAGCAGATTTCTCATAAACCAAAAAACCTGCACAATATCTTTTTTTTTTTGAAAATTGAAACAAGGCCTGTGCAAATGCCATTCTTTTAGAAAAAGTTCGAAGAAAATGGAAACAACTTTGAATAGCAGCTGAATTTGACTTTCGATAGAATGCAAGTGAAAACCTGTAAAACATTTAACGTTTTAAAATTTATTAAGGAGCAAATAGGATGCCATAATAAGCCCTTAAACTTAGAAAATGATGAAGTGGTGCGAGGGTAGTATGCTCACTTAACCTTGCAGTGGAGCTTCACGGTTGGACGAATTTCCCTTGGATAGGCATTTTCACGCCTTGGCATCCCTTTACAGCAGTGAAACCACCTTTACAAAAAATTACATAATGTCTAATATACATTTGAGTAGGTGCTTTCATAACTTAGCACCTCTCTACTTTAGTGAAACCACAATTTTAGGGGGTTACATTCGGAATAATAATACTTATCCGTTTATTTTGAATACTTCAAAAATTTTCAACAATTAAAATTTGAATCGAGCTTACTTCATTCATTTGAATATTCAAGGCATTCAAACATTTGCACAAGCTTAGATATGCTCTTTTGTGCCACATGTTCCTGAGATCAGCGAACCTTTCTGACGTGACCTACAATATTCAGCAATATTCCAATGAGCAAGCTGAGGCCTTGCTTTGTGAAGACGAAAGACAATCTGCCAAACAAAAAATTGTCTGGTGTGAAAGAAAATAGTGAAAATTAAGCTGGCAAGACTGACAACTTTTAGCAAAGTCTCGAGCAGAACATACAAGACGTAAGAAAAAAAGAAAGAAAAAGGTTTCGTCAAACACTCTGTTCGTACACACAGAAGCAAACAGCCTGAAAATAGACAAGAATAATGCAAAGATAACGGAAATAAAGATTGTCTGACGAATAGGACACCGCCTAATGCAAATTTGGAGCTCAACTTTGTGTTGGGCAAGGTCAGCAATGCTTGAAGTTTGGACTTTCCACACAGTATCGACTACGCCATAGATCAATGCTGCGAACGAAACCGTGTCGATGCAAACAAAGATATCATCGGCGCAGTTCTGACTGCACGTGCTCAAATTGAATACGGAACTACCGTTTGCCGCAATCTCTGCGCAGAAAACCACGGTAGCGATGGTCGCGTTCTTCAATAGTGAATACGATCTGAAAGTGTGCAGTTGACACAGCCGTAGACTAGAGGCAATAAAGTCGTTAAATTGCACAAAGCGCTAAGGCTTTCCTGTCGTACGCTTCTGGCTAGGTAGTGCGAAGCGTAGGCAGAGCTTCGGCACTTTCAGTTGCAGTTTTCATTTGGCCGCTAGCAAAGCAGTGGCATGCTTGATTGTGGCGCGTGCACTCAGCACGCTCCAAGGGTCGTTTGAATATTGTATTTTTTTTTGTGTACAACCTGCCCATGCAAATAACTGACACCCTCGGGTGCAAACCGCGGGAGCAAGAAAAAAAAGTACCCAAATATTGACCCAAGGCTGCTTTCTTTGCATTACCGTGAAAGCGTGCCATGAGCCAGCTTGCACACCAAACCTAACTTAAGCTCTTTAAATTTTCTGTATATTTTTGATCGTGTTACACGCAATAAAATAGGTACTTTTCACTCAGTGTGCGGGCAGCGCCATCGGAGTTGGTGAGAGTTCACTGCATGCGCTTGCTGGGGTTTAACAGCGAATTTCTTCGCATGTCTTGTCAATTTTGTTGTTCCGGGGTTTGAGTGTACTTACTTAATGTACAACCTTAAGTAAGCACGAATAGCTTGTGCTCAATAAACAAAACAGACTACAACTCTGCACATATAATTGCTAATTTCTAGGTCACGTTGAACTCTCATGGAACCACCAGGGTCAGTGTACTGACAGATTATGAAAAAACGTTTTTTTAATATTATTATGTGACCACCGCTTGTGTTAAGAAACAATCAGTGCACCTCTGGAGTGAGTATTACAGTAAGGACAACTAGCTCTATGCGTCATTATCATCATCAATTAAAGTACGCCCACTGCAGGGCAAAGGCCTCTCCCATGTTTCACCAATTAACTTGGTACTCTGGTTGCTACCACTACGATGTCTCTGGAAACTTTGTAATCTCCCCCGCCAACCTAACTTTTTGCCGTTTCTTGTGAGCCTGACGCCTAATTGAATCCTGCCTTCCTGCCTTCCTTTTAATGATTCGGGGTCACTCGTGTTGCCTTCTCACTAAACGCCCAGTCCACTTTTTTTATTTCGACAACGGTAAAATATAGAGCTAAGCGCAGAGTTCTGGGGTATATGCAGTGAACAATGCGACATTGCTCTCTGCTGATCACTTCACTGCACACACAGCATGTAACAGCATTTATACAGGTTTCCGAAGCAAAACTTCAAAGATATTCAAGGACTTTTCCAGGAGCCGTTGCAGGTTTTTCAATGTCTCAAAGCAGCAAGCAAACTAGAAATTTTTTTCTCGAAAATCTTCAGATATGGCTAGCTTCATTGTACTTACGTAAATGGACATCAGTAATTAAATAGACATCACAATTATCAAAAAAAGTCTAGTAGTCTTGATAGGCTCTCAAGAATAACACGCACTGAATGCTTACAGGAGTGTATGAGATTATAAGAATGATTGAGATCGCATTCATTTCTACACCGCACCGACAGACAAACTGAATTTTTTTCCCAACGCACTTCTGCAAAACAGAATCATGCGCGCTCATGTTAAATTACTGTTTATGAACTGGGGAGTTCGTCAGGTCGACAGCGATCTACCACATTAAAGAGGCTGAAAACGTCAACCTGGGGAGTGCACTGCTCAGGAAATTCAAGGATTATAAAGGACGAGAAAAAAATTCCAGGACTTTCAAGGGCCTGGAGAACCTGTTTTTCAAATTCAAGGGTTTTCATGGATTTCAAGAACCTGTCCGAACCCCGGCGTAAACTGCAGCAAAACCATCACCTAGGTCCAAACTCTTTTGAAATGAAACGGGGCATCTCTCAAGTCTACCATGCATAGAATAAATGACCGAAGCATGCAAGAAAATAACCAGAAAATTCCACCAAACCAACTGCTTTTGGAAGACCGCTCAAGCTAGGCTTCAAGCAGCGAAATTAAGAAAGAAAGCCGTGAGACCTACTACTGACCATAGCGGCTGCTTTGCCCGCATTCTGAGGGTCTCCCGAGGATTCCTTTGAAGCCGATAGCACCGAGTTGATCAAAGCCGAAGAATCCTTTATGCTTGCGGGACCATTGTGCGATGGGGCCTCGGTTCCATTTACAGCAAGAGACTCCCGTGCCGACACTGGAAGGCAAGGAAAAAGTATTCTCATAAAAGCATTCTCACGACATTCACCCTCATATTCTAAAACAATCTTTAGCTCTAAACTCTCTTTTCACTCAGGCAATAATTGTCACAGGTTTTTTTTTTTTGGAGGGTCTTTACACAGTGAGGGTGACCCTCTGCTACGGGAACTTGTATCATTTCACTTACATCCTCCGAAGAAGGCTGGTTCACCAGCCGAAACTGTTAGGATTAAATAAATATTTTATTGTTTTGTTTCCTATACTGCACTATTCTCGAAGTATATAAATAATATATATATATATATATATATATATATATATATATATATATATATATATATATATAGCGAAACAATGAGCGCTTGTGTGATATTAGAAGCAACGTATAAGCATTATGCGGGGGTCACTGCTTGCGCAGAACAACATGTGACATAACGAGTGAGTGAACTTTATCTGCCAAGAGTTTTCACTCTATGTGAGGTCGAAGCATTGTGCGCGGTGGGGAGGGTGAAGCGAGAGAAAGGTGTGTAGCGAGCTGGCGGAAGAGCCTGCAGCTGCTGTGGGTGAAGGAGAGAGTGCACGTCAATATTGTCCGATATATATATATATATTGATACAAAACAGCCGCAAAACACGGCTGCATGAAAGAGGAGGACGAAGTGGGTTTTCCGTTGGATGCTGGTCTGACGCCATCTTGCTCGTCGGGTTCTGTGCGCTGTAAACAGATCATTAAACAAGTTACTTGTAACATTATTGGTGGAGGTGGACGACCCCCGTACCTCGATGGAGACGCGCAGCGGTCGCACCATCGGCGACCTTTCGACTGCTTCGACTGCTGGTACTTCCTCTACGCCGCCCTCATCAGTCCAAGCCACCACCTACGTCACACTACCGCACCTCCGGGATCCCGGCACTTTCTCCGGTGATGGTACGATCGATCTCGACACTTGGCTGAAGCGGTACGAGCGCGTCAGTGCTACTCACCGATGGGATCCCACGCTCATGCTCGCCAACGTGCTTTTCTACCTGGACGGCACTCCCCGAACATGGTTTGAAAGCCACGAAGCCGACATAACGAGCTGGGATCTCTTCAAAGAAAAGATACGTGACCTGTTTGGCGATTCATCTGGTCGTCAGCTCGCTGCGAAGAAGACTCTTGCCACACGGGCCCAGTCTTCTACCGAATCGTACGTCTCTTACATTCTTGACGTCTTGGCCCTTTGTTCCAAGGCCGACCAGTCCATGTCGGAAGACGAAAAGGTTAACCACGTCTTGAAAGGCATTGCTGACGATGCTTTCAACCTGCTGGTTTTTAACAACGTCTCGAGCATCGACACAATCCTTAAAGAATGCCGACGTCTCGAACAAGCTAAAGCCCGCCGCGTAGCCCAAAGCATCGTGCGCCTTCCGAACACAGCGGCCACTTCTTCGTGTGACGACGCCTTCCACCAGGCCCCTCGATGTGACAACCTTACACGCATCATTCGTCGAGAGGTCGAGGCAGCACAACCGGTAGCCACGCCATTACCGACGCCTGCGCCTTCCCCGACCACGATCTCTTTAATACAAGCGGTCGTTCGTCAAGAGCTATCGAATGTCGGCCTACATCCTGTTCCTACCGTATACTCTGCTGAGCCTTCTTATCGTACCCCTTCTGCACCTCGCATACAACGCAATCCGTCCGAATGGCGTACTCTTGATGACAGGCCCATATGTTTTAACTGTCGACGCGTTGGTCATATCGCTCGTCACTGCCGCAGCCGCTGGGCTCCACCGTCCCATTATGCACCTCAGTATCACACCACTTCTGCTCGCCAGTCGTCCCCACCACTTTCTCCATCAACGCCGACCACATTTTCCGCTCCTACAGCACCTCTGAGCAGACCTCGCTACAACCGGTCACCGTCCCTTTCTCGTCGTCAGTCCCGCTCGCCCCCACAACGCCGTGCTGCCTCCACGACCTATTCGCAGCATCTCCGACCGGAAAACTAGGCCGTGCAGCTTCTGGAGGTGGAGCTGCGTTGACGACCTTCGTAAGAAATCCTCGATTAACGTTAACAACGAACCGGAACCTTTTGGACGTTACTGTCGACAATGTTCGTGTCAATGCATTGATAGATACTGGCGCGCATGTGTCCATTATGAGTGCTAACCTTCGCCGCCGACTTAGAAAAGTTGTCACGCCCACCCTCAACCGAGCTGTACGAGTCGCCAATGGAGGAACTGCCGCAATTCTTGGCATGTGCTCTGCGCGAGTGTCTATTGGGGAGAGAAGCACTGTCGTTCTTTTCGCCGTTATCGAACATTGCCCTCATGAACTCATTCTCGGTATGGATTTTCTAGCCACGCACTCTGCCCTCATAGACTGTTCAGCTGGCTCTCTCCATCTCGATTTACCCCTCTTTTCCGACCCGACCAGCCCACCGCAAACCAGCCTCTGCTGCATTGATTTCACGCGCCTCCCTCCTAACTCTGTCACACATGTCGACTTATCCTCCACGCCGCCAGTACCTGATGGTGATTACATGGTGGCCCCGATTCCTGCAGTGATGCTTACGCATGGGGTTGCTGTGCCGCATATGATTCTGACGATTAAGAGAAACCGCACCTTCCTTCCACTGGTCAACTTTTCACTCACCACCCAAGTTCTGCCACAGGGTATCTCCCTGGCCAAAATTACTGCTCTCCAAGATGACCATGTCGAGCCCTTCAGAGTTGACGATTGCTGCAGCTCAGTCAGTGGTTCCACTCCATCACGTTCTTGGGGCGCCGACATCGAGCGAATGGTGTCATCGGACCTCACGTCTGAGCAAGCTGCAGCGCTTTGCCACGTTCTTGAGGGCTATCGTAGCATTTTCGACTTTGCCAGCAACTCTTTAGGCCAAACGACCATTGTCACCCATCGCATAAATACTGGCCATGCAACCCCCATTCACCGACGCCCCTACCGTGTGTCTGCGTCGGAGCGTGCAATATTACAACATGAAGTCGGCAAAATGCTTGCGAAAAACATTATCGAGCCTTCATGCAGCCCCTGGGCTTCTCCAGTCGTCCTTGTTAAAAAGAAAGATGGAACATGGCGCTTTTGTGTCGATTACCGTCACCTTAACAAAATTACCAAAAAAGACGTTTATCCTTTACCACGCATCGACGACGCCCTCGACTGCCTGTACGGTGCCACTTATTTTTCAACTATTGACCTTCGGTCAGGGTACTGGCAGATAGCCGTCGACGAGATGGACCGCGAGAAGACCGCATTCATCACTCCTGATGGTCTTTATCAGTTTAAGGTGATGCCCTTTGGACTCTGCAATGCACCAGCCACATTTGAAAGAATGATGGACTCATTGCTCCAAGGGCTGAAATGGTCCACCTGCTTGTGTTACCTTGACGATGTTATTGTCTTTTCGCCCACATTCGACTCGCATCTTGATCGTTTGTCAGCTATTCTGGACGTTTTTCGTCGAGCCGGACTCCAGCTTAGCGCCTCCAAGTGCCGCTTCGCTCATCGTCAAATTTCCGTGCTCGGTCACCTTGTCGATGCCCAAGGCGTGCGTCCAGACCTAGAGAAAATTAGCGCAGTCACGAACTTTCCCGTTCCGAAGACCACAAAGGATGTCCGCAGTTTTGTGGGGTTGTGCTCATATTTCAGGCGATTTGTTAAGGACTTTGCGACCATTGCACGCCCACTCACAGACCTCTTGAAGAAAGACGCCTCGTTTACCTGGGGCCATGACCAAGCGTCATCGTTTTCGCAACTTACGACATTGCTTACAACGCCACCAATCTTGGCTCACTTTGATCCATTAGCCCCAACCGAGGTTCACACGGACGCCAGTGGACACGGCATAGGAGCTGTGCTATTGCAGCAACAACGCGGACACGACCGTGTTATAGCCTACGCAAGTCGACTGCTATCTCCAGCCGAGCGCAACTATTCCATCACGGAGCGCGAGTGCCTCGCCCTTGTATGGGCAGTCGCCAAGTTTCGTCCATACCTGTACGGGCGCTCATTCCGTGTTGTCACGGATCATCACGCGCTCTGCTGGCTAGCCTCCCTGAAGGACCCCACGGGACGTCTCGCTCGTTGGGCTCTACGCCTTCAAGAGTACACGTTCTCTGTAATGTACAAAACAGGGCGATTACATCAGGATGCGGATTGTTTATCCCGCTACCCTGTTGACGAAGCAACCGATACTGACGCTATCACGGACGTTTTTTCCGTGTCGCAGCTGTTAAACATTGGCGAAGAGCAACGTCGGGATGCTTCTTTACGAGCCATCATTGACAAACTGGAGTCAACGCCTCGCGACCCGTCCCTACGAATGTTTTTGGTGAAAGACGGGATCCTATATCGCCGCAACCTTGATTCCTTCGGATCAGACTTACTTCCTGTCATCCCAGCGCACCTGCGTTCCACTGTCCTGCATCAACTTCATGACGCTCCCATGACGGGCCATTTGGGCGTTTCTCGCACATACGATCGGGTACGACGTCGGTTTTTTTGGCCTGGACTTGCCCGCTCTGTTCGACGCTATGTCGCCGCTTGTGAGCCCTGTCAGCGTCGCAAAACGCCGTCTGCCCTCCCAGCCGGCTACCTTCAGCCGATCGACGTTCCCAACGAGCCTTTCTTTCGAGTTGGTCTCGACCTGTTGGGCCCTTTTCCACTCTCCACAGCCGGAAATAAATGGATTGCTGTTGCCACGGACTACGCGACGCGGTACGCAATCACACGAGCACTCCCGACCAGCTGCGCTACCGACGTTGCGGACTTTCTGCTGTACGACATAATATTAGTGCACGGTGCTCCCCGTCAACTTCTCACCGACCGTGGCCGCACGTTCTTATCAGCTGTCGTTCATGAAATCCTGAGGTCTTGCCATACCAAGCACAAATTTACTACTTCGTACCATCCCCAGTCAAATGGCCTCACGGAGCGCCTTAACAGGACCCTAACCGATATGCTTGCCAAATACGTTGCGCCAGACCACCATGATT